AAGCAATGCAATCATAAGCTCAGTTGAAAAAGATCCGCGAGGGATGCCCGCGGTATGGGTTCGGATCACCATTTTGGCCGATTTTTTTTTTCTAATCTGGGATTTTTTTTAAAGGGAAATAAAGTCTGAATTTCATCACGTTCGAAACCATTTGTTTTTCTTCTTCTGATATATTTGTGTCTCATGTTTTAAGAGAAGTCCAAAACGTCATAGCGTATACACTCAATTTGGATGTCGTTTGGGGAACAAAATATCGCCGGCCGGGCAGGGGAGGGGAAATGTGGTTTAAACTCGAATAGAAAGCCAGAATTGTGCTTGTGGACGGACGAACACAGCTGTTTCGGCTGTTTAAAATGATTCTGTGACATATGTGATGACGATGCTTCAAATTTCATCGACAACACATGATGTCACTAAATATCAACACTATACACCAAGTACAACTGAATCGGACCTTTAGTTCTCTAGATTATAGGCCCCAGGAAAGTTGTCCTTTTAGGCGAGGTCACATGACATGTGATGACGACATCACGACGTCACTCAAATTTACATCTTTATTTTCCTTTTCCAAATAAATGATTCAACCCTAATCGGACTTGTAGGCCTACTCTAGAAGATATAGGGCTTAGAAACAAGCACCTTTAATGTGGCGTAACTTGACAGGCTTATGACGCCATCGTGACGCCGGAGAATCGTTGGGGACCATCTGCGGGTGTTGGTCTATGTGTAAAGGCCTACTCAATCTGATTTACAGATGTGTATTACAGGAGTATATTAGTGGAACAAAAACGTGTACAAATCCAAAGGAGAGAACACCACCTTAACGTGATGTAACTTGACACCTCGTCTGTTTTGAACAAAGTTGCATCTATAGCACGTTCTACACATGACACATGATGACGTCATCGCGACACAAATCTTCGGCACACATTCTTAGGCCAAATAAGTCGGTCTCTGGTCAGCGCGCGCGTCGATTTTAATCATGCACGTCAGTCTTTTTTTTCCAAAATGTTCCGCGGTAGCTCCAACAGCGCCCTCTATTGCCGCACCTCCTCAATTTGTTTTTACCAAAGAGCACCAAGGAATGGAAAATTGCACCAAGGCAAATGATCGAGAGCACCAACTTAGGCAAATTATGGAGGACACCAATGTACATGAGGCACCAAAAAAGCAAAATAGTACCCCACCTTGTCTGTACAATCCAAGCTTGAAAAAAAAAGCCGCATCGCCGCGTCAATTCTGGAACTTTGGTCTGACCAGAGACCGAATATTTTTTTTTGGGGGGGGGGCCTTAGGGTGGTTGCCTATAATTTTATGTATGCCTAGTCTGAAGTCGATCGGATTAACAAAAGTGCCAAGTGCATGGGTAGAAGAAACATGTACAAACCTAAGGAGAGGGGTCTGAAAAAGAGCAAATAAGGGGGGAACTTTAACAAAAACAATTCTGTTTCTGAGTATACTCCGAAACAGCTACAAACATGAGAAGGGAAATTAATGTTGTTGGCTGTAAACACCCTCTTAAAATCTAAAATGATAGTAGAATAATATAGGTTTTGGTTGCAAATTACACCAAGTTTACATTCAATTTAACGCCTGGCTTATTTAATTTAGATTTAGAAATTGAAAGATCACGCAGTGACCGAAATTCGACAATCAAAATAAATCATTCAATTTCTCTATCTGGGCATTTTATCGTCTTTTAGCTTCATTCGTCCCTGTAAAAGATGCATTCAAATTAAAAGTACCCCGTTGTTCATTCAATTTTGTCTGCGTACCAGCAGCAAGGGGTGGATCGGGCATTCCTTTGCATTAATGAGCAAATATATTTAACAGTTTTTCGAGCATGTTTTAAGATTTCCTGCATGTAAGATTCTGAATTATCTCGGCGTAAATCATACCTGATGTCTCCAATCGGTAAATGCACACCTATCTTTCTCAATTAAAGGGTCCGTGAAATGATTGTTCAGGAATATATTTTCTGCAACTATCTACTGTTCTGAAATGTATGAAAACTACACATTGACATCCTTTTTTGGTTAATCTTATTGCATCTTCAACTCCCTAGCATGCCCATTCTGGCAAATTCCAACTGCACAGACATATTTTTTGCTTTGATTCTGTAGGAGGTGCCAACCTTAACTGTAAAAGACTGTCAGTTTAGGCCTACTGTACCCATCTTGACAGATTCCAACAAAACATGCCGTTTGGGGTTGATGGGTTGAGTTATGTAAGGGTACAAGTTTCCATGCTTTTCCGGACTGCTGAGCGTGACAAATGATTGTTATGGTGATGTCATTCTGGAAGACACTGTTTAGTTTTCATTTCATTTCATTTATTTCCCGACTTCATACACAGACAGAGAACAAGAGTACAGCGTTAACAAACACAGAAAATACAAATACTAAACACAATGTCATAAGAACAGTGAAGTGGAGGGACCCGTAGGAAGCAGAGCTTGTCGAGTACGGGACCCATGGACAACAAAGTTTGGAAAATAAAGAGACTTATTTGATTATGTACAGGTCAAGTTAAATTGGACAAGTTAGACGAAATATAACAAACAAAATAATAACAGTTACAGGGACAAAAATACGTAACTAAGTTGTGTCATCAGCGGAAGTACGTAATGAGAACATGAAATCAAACAAACACATTTAACAAAAGAACTATATATATATATAATGTGTAGCAATAGCAAACAGGATTAAGCAGCTTGGCAAAAAGAAAAACATAAGTTTCATAAATTAGAACATAAGGTTAAATTAAACAATAGGAACTGATTTTAGAATCTTTAAATTTGTTTTTGAAGAGACACAGAGTTTTGTCATTGTGCAAGTTTGTATGAAGGAAATTCCATAGTTGAAATATGCATGTAACACTAATTATGACCGGAATAACGAATAAAGTTTTGCTCATAAACATGAACTTTGCATTAGCATACAAAGGAGAATGCACAAAAGCACCGTTTAAAATTAGAGGAAAAAATGAATATAAGGTTAAATGTGATATAAAGATGTATTTTCAAAGTTTGCATTGTAAATTACTTTGCATATGAGTCCTTTAAATAAGTGTCCGGCCAGACATACGAAAGAAAACATTGAAGAAATTACCCATGAGAAGTGTTCCCGATGGTACAACCATTGCCAAACATACATGCCCCATGTCTTGCTCGTCAAGAAATCGTCAACGTAAAGATGCTCCTTGCTTAAACGTTTAAACAAGTAAAAAAGATCGTCAGTGGACATGAAATTGTCTTAGCCCTTTTCATTTCATTATTTCGTTCAATCTTGTATTCCCTAATATCAGTTAATTTGTTAAATTTTACAGTCACCAAGATTTTTTTTTGGGGGGGGGGGGCAGGCGCGGTTCTACGGGGGGGGGGGGCCTAGGGGGCCTAGGGGGGGGCCTAGGGGGGGGGGGCAGCCCGCCCCCCCCCCCCCAATTTTGTCTAGCCCCCAAAATAAATTTCGAACCGAAGACCAACTCAGACCCACTACCAACTCGGACCAACTACCAACTCGGACCCACTACCAACTCGGACCCAAGCACGACCAACTCGGACTCAACAATGACTTAATCATTAGTTTCAGAGATTATATTTAAAGGTCATCTTAAGTTACAGTGCTTATATATAGTGAACATATTCTGTACTAATATTGGTCAGAATGGGGCTTTTAATTTTGTTGTTTGATCATACTACGTTGATTTTAATTATTTTTGGGTACTTGGAAATGGCACGTGTTGTTTATACTCCTGTCATTTAATAATAATATTTTTTACCCATTTAGGCAGTTAATTTCATTAAATTATATATTTAAATTCACTTACTTTGTTTTTTGGTAAAGCATATTACACATTTTGTTCAGTGAGGAAGTTATTAATTTGAAATAAACCTTTCATTTTATGTAATTGTTAGTTTTTTTAATTTTTATTTTTTACGAATCTGTTTAACTTTTAATATTTTTTTGATTAACTTTTTCCCCCGTGGAACATCATAGTCGAGCATACAGGCAGCTACCTGTAAGGCCTTGAAGGATAATCTTCCCAGAGCTCCAACACTCCTTTTTGATGATTGACATTTCATCTTTTTGTAGGGTACTTAATAAGTTTATCTTTTATTACATGCTGGCTTTTAATTTTGTGGTTTTTTTTACGAATCTGTGTAACTTTTTATACTTTTTTGATTAACCTTTTTTGTTCAATATGGAACCTTCGTTTTTCTTGCAGTATACAATGGTGTTTATGTGGGTTTTGTTTTAAATACATGTACATGTACATAGAATAGACTTTGTTTTTATACCTTATTTATTTTATTTAATGACTTATAATATGTTTACTTATATTCATTGAATTAATAATGCCATGTTTGAAAGTGTTTATGTTTCAATGTCTTACTTTCCAATTTTATTTTTCCATGAAGATCTCTGTTCTGAATGTATGTGGTTTGAACTAAAAATGAAATAAATCGCTGTTAAATTGAGCAAGATGGCGTGAACGATGTCAAATATGAACATGAATAATTGGTTAAACTTTAATTTTAATTACTTTTGGTTAAAGCGCAATATGTTTCAATGGAAACAAATAATAAAAATGAATAATTAATTACACTTTTAAAGCGCATTTCAAAATAGCATTTCAATGCACTTTACAACGACAAACTGCTGCAATACAGATATTTTACCTGACAACTACAATGACAATTTATACTTAACCGCATCACTGTATTAACAGATGATAAGTGGACAAACTTTATAATATTGTCGAATGATTGAAAACGCTGTCGAATTATTGTAAACGATGGGTCCGAGTTGGTCATGCATGGGTCCGAGTTGGTAGTGGGTCCGAGTTGGTTGTAGGTCCGAGTTGGTAGTGGGTCCGAGTTGGTAGTTGGTCCGAGTTGGTTGTCGAGTGGTTTGGGTCCGAGTTGGATCGAACCCCCCCCCCCCCCCCCCCCCCGGCCCCTGACTCGGTGACGTCACGGCATAGTCAGGGAACCAGACTGCGTGCAACAATGGCGACTTCGGTAGCTTCAGCGCATTCGGCAGGAGGTTTGTCTTTTTATTAAATCGAAATAATTCATGATATTGGTGTATATTATTTGATTTTATTATATCAATGCATAGTAAAACCTCTTTCAAGTCTTATATCATGAAGGTTCTGTAAATAAGGCAAGAAAAAGGCCAGAAGAGAGACGATAGATGTGTGTCCATCGTCCCTAGGAAAGGATTATCGTACTAGTGCCACGTAGTCGTAGTCGTACCAACCTCGTCCCCAGGGTGTCGAGCAGTACCCGCCAACCACTACCTGCTCTCTCACCCTGGTAAGTGGTATTGGATCATTTGCATGTGCAAGATTTTTGAACACGTATGCAAATTAGGAGTAGTCTGGTGCCTGCCTGTGCGTTACATTTGCGTTTGTTTTTGAATGCGGTGTCTGAGGTAAAAACAGAATCAATTCGTCGCAGCGCGAGCATGGCGTGAGTTACGAAAACATAATTTTATTTTAATTAAACTGTTACGATCTTAACGAGACAACATGCAGTATCACATTTCATATTATTGTAGTAGCTGGAAAGCCACATATCAAGGGTCGACTCGTCGGTAGGCCTCGCCGTTGTTTTATTCAACAGATGACATGACAAATGACAAGCTTCAGATCTATCTCTTATCTAGCTTTATGATCCCGAAGAAGACAAGACTTCTTTCAGTAGAAGTAAAAACCCTGAAAAATTACAATACGTGAGGTGGCAATTACGTTTCTAACAAAGTAATCGGTCTGATTTATAAATATTATTAAATAATAAATTATACAGATAAACCTACCCCAGTGCCTTTGGCTTCCGTTATTTAAGGATACACAAAACAGCACAGCTCACAGCTTGGAGAGAAAGCCCTCGAACTGGTCTACACGTCGCAGACTAGGTATGTCTGGCCAAAAGAAAAGTTATCGTCTTGCACTTCAATAATAGTACGCCAAAACAGCGTTATCTCCCTGCATCTGCAGCATGCACTGGCTTTTGTGCGCTGTGTCATATAGGCCCCAATGTATACATTTGCCACGCAATGTATACATTTGCATCCAAAAAGTATGGCGTGCCTAAGCACGGGGTGACAAAATACGTTTTGATGATTTTCAAATTATTATGAATCGCCACAATTTCCCTGCTTTAAAGATCAGTCGCCCTCGAACGATCCATAAGTCCAAAAAAAAAATCATTTTTTCTTTTTTTTCCGGAGTGGTTTTGTACTAAATAAGTCAAAAAGGGTAACTACATATTACTCTTTATATATAATCCTCTTGCATGCATACACACATTTAAAGTATGACTAAAATATGTGAATCTCCTGCTTTTGGAATTCCTATTCCAAATTTTACCGAACACAAACTGGTTCCATTTCAGTAACTTTTAAACTACACGTGCAAACAAAGTGACTGAGTGCTTTTTCAAGACTCAATATAGTGTTTGTCTGATGATCTCTGCCTGTTTCTGAATGGCATGTTCATTCCAGTTTGTACGCGTATTATTCAGCAGTTGATCTAGCGGAACAACCGGATCTGGGCCGAACATTAGCGTAAAAGGCGGGTACCCCGTTACGCTGTGCGGAGTGGTGTTATAGATATGTACTAGATGGGGCAGAAAATCTGGGCAATTATGACGAATTTTACCATCAAGTGATCTGATAAGGCCACAAAGCGTGCGATTGAACCTTTCGGTTTGCCCGTTGCCTTGCGGGTGGTAAGCAGTGGTTCTCGTTTTCTTTATGCCATATAAATTGCACAGCTCTCTGATCAAATGGCTCTCGAAATTTTTGCCTTGATCTGAATGAATTTGGGCTGGAGTGCCATAATGTGAGGACCACTGATCCCGCAAGACACGAGCTACTGTAGGCGCTGTTTGATCCCTACATGGAATTGCTAGGGAGAATTTAGTGTAGGCATCAGTAAGTACGAGAACATTTTCAATCTTCCCCTTAACGACATCAAGTTTGACAAAATCGATAGCAAGGCGTTCAAGAGGTTGAAACGCCAGCAAATGCCGCATTGGCGAACGAATTGTTGGCGTTGGCACTTTCGTCAACGTACAACGAAAACCATAATGAAAAGTTGATATAGGCAAACGGACATAAGCTCAAATACGCGTGGTTCTGCATACACAAACTACAGAACACACGTTACACAATAGGCACGTGCATTTATATACAATGTATATAATACGCGCGCGCGCGTGTGTGGGTGGCTAAACTGTGGGCTAACCATGGGCTAACTAATCAAAACACTGACGGGCTATACTTTTTCAAGCCAAAATGGTCGTCGGAATTTATTGTCCAATTAGCATGTTTCTTATATCAGCATTTAGAGAATTTTATCTACTTTATGAATGTCGTCACCCCAAGGTTGTTGAATTTTTCGTTTTGACGCTGTGGTAAAAAACACACGGACATGCGTGCTAAAAACTAGTTTACGCTTCGTGGATGTGCACTATTGAATGGGAGCACAAAGCGTGGATGTGTCTTTTCAAACTAAAATGGTCGTTATGTGCCAAGCATTGTCATTGACAAATTTCATTCCTATAGAAAGCTGAAGATGTCTTCTTTCATGTTCTGATCACCCCAGATTTGTACGTTGCCCAGTTTTAAAGATATGCCTGTTTTGGTGTCTCAACAACGCACGCGCACACATACTGAGCGTGTACACGCAGTGTTGCGATGAGTAAATGTCCAAAACTTTTCATTATGCGTCTGAACGTGATTTCGGACACAATTCGTCATTCCCGGCCAATAACAGCGCTGCTGAAGAAACGCCAATGTTCTGTTTATGCCTTGGTGGCCCCAATGGTCGTGGGCTGCTTCCAAAACTAACTTACGGAGTTTTTGCGGAACAAGGAGTTGGAAAACAGTCCCTCTTGCAGGGTCAACAGTTTCCCTATACAACACGCCATTGTGTTCTGTTATTCGTGGCCATTCTTTTAACCAACCACGCACTTCGGAAGTGAGTTTAACATCATCAATATTTTGGCAAGGCTTGCATTTTTTTTATACCAACTGTCCCACACAACTCGTAAAGACTGATCTTCTTTCTGAAGGGAGGCAAGCTCCTCATGTGAGAACGAGGGGAGCACCGCAGGGGCAGAACCGGCGGTCTCCTGTGATGTGCCTTCTGTCTTTTGGGTATGCGTTTCGGACGCATTCTGAGCTGACACATCAATGGGTACTTGTGAACCCTCGCAGGTGAGTCCATAATTTTGTAGTTCAACGCAGGTTTGAGGCGACATGAAGATAGCGGCTTAGGGCGTCAGCACACTTATTTGTCTTCCCGGATCTATATTTTATCTCAAGATCGAAAGGTGCTAATTGGGCTATCCATCTCTGCTCAGTAGCACCAAGTTTTGCCGTTTGTAGGTGAGACAGAGGGTTATGGTCAGTCCACACGATTGTGTGGTGACCAAGCAGGTAGTCGCGAAATTTTTCTGACACTGCCCATTTCAAGGCGAGTAATTCCAGCTTGAAACTGGATAAATCGGCATAATTTCTCTCTGCTCCGCGTAGACTTCGACTCGCGTACGCGACTGAGTGAAGTTTCCCACTGTCATCAGCCTGACAGAGACACGCGCCTAAACCCTTAGCAGAAGCATCCGTCTCAAGTACAAAGTCGCGATCAAAGCACGGATATGCCAAGACAGGGGCCGTGCACAGTACGTCTTTCAAAACATTGAAAGCTACGTCGGCCTCTTCTGTCCAAACGAATGGGGCTGTGGCCTTCCCTGCTTTTGATTGTGCTTTACCGGTGAGCGCGTGTAATGGCTCTGCAATTTTGGCGAAGTCGCGCACGAAACGCATGTAGTACGAGGCTAACCCAAGGAAGGAACGCAGTTGATTTGCAGTTGTTGGGGTAGGCCAAGACCTCACTCGTTCGGTTTTATCAGGATATACTGACACTCCGTTAGAGTCTACGACATGACACAAATGAACCACGGAATCTCTGAATAACTGACACTTTGACCCGTTTAGTTTGAAATCGTATTGTTTAAAACGACTGAAAACTTTGTCAAGTCTCTCAATGTGGCTGTCAAATGTGGCAGAGTAGACTAACAGGTCATCTAGATAGAGAATCAGCTCCGACAGGTTCAGATCTCCGAAAATGTGTTCCATTATTCTCTGAAACGTACTTGAGCTGTTGATGAGACCCTGGGGAAGACATAACAATTCATAGAGTCCCCAAGGTACCCTAAACGCGGTCTTATCAATATAATCTTCTTCCATGGCTACTTGGAAGTAGCCATGGGCCATATCTAAAGAAGAAAATACTTTAGCGCCACCAAGAGCCTCTAGGGTTTCGTCTATCCTCGGCAATGGAAATGAATCTTTGGCTGTCTTCGCGTTTAAGCAACTGAAGTCAATACATAATCTGAGTTGGCCACTTTTCTTACGCACAAGAACGATGGGACTCGCGTAAGGACTAGATGGTCGACGTATTATGCCCCTATCGAGAAGATCCTGAAGCAGGGTCTTCACTTCTCCAACCTTAGAAGGTAATATTCTCCGATAAGGGAGGTTCACTGGAGTATCATCGCTCAGCCGTATTTTGTGAGGGATGATGTCACAATAACCCAAATCAAAGGGCCCGGCTGAGAAAACATCGATATACTTTTTAATTAATTCCGCTGCCTTAATAGCGTCTTCTGGTGCTAAGTGTTTAAGGGTAAGACCAGGAGACATGACAAAATTGGTGCCGTCTGGAAAAACAAAGGTTTCCCTATTTTCCCTATCTGTCAGTGCATCCTCTTTTAACTCATGCTCATTGCAAGGCAAATTGCTATTATGGAGTCATTCGGTTCGTTTTCTTCGCGAACACTGGCTACAACACGGTGCACTGACACGTGAAGCCCATCCCCATCCTGCTCGAGGAAAATCTGCTCCTCAGTATTAATTGCAGATAAAACTGCTACCTGAGTGAGCGCCGGGATAATCAAGGGCTCTGCACTAGCATTTGCTATATACACGTTAATATTTGCACCGTCAATTTGTCCGTCACCGTCAAGCACCTGACA